TAATAAACTGAAAACATACCTTTATACACCCTACATACTCCCTCAGCTTCCTCATCTACACAATGGGGATAAGAACAACAATATCTCCTTCTCATAGTTGTTGTGAAATCAAATGAGAGAATATAAAGTGCCTGCCTCGAAAATCTTAAAGTGTTACACAACTGGTACTTATCACACCTCTAATGTCTCATCCACATGACAGCTCTTCAAAGATCTGAGGAACCCTGTCATGTCTTCTCCCTTCCTTCCATACACACCTTTTCTTTTCTAGGTTCAACTACCCCACTGCTTTCAGTCTTCATTTAGGATGGGATTTTGTGGCTCTTCGCCGAACTCCCATGCTTTACTGCTTATGAGGTTATAGTCTGAGAGCTGGAAATCACATTAGTCCAACTTCTTTATCGTACAGATAAGTGGGTGGAGAGAGATTAACTGACCTGCGGAGGACCACACAGAGAGATGGTAAAAGTAAGAGCCAGAACCAGGCCTTCCAGTCCCAACACCAGTCTCTCCTGAAAAGCACTGTTGCCCCTCATCATCACCTAAAACATGGCGACCCAATCTGAATGCAACACCACAAAATGTGGTCCCTGAGCTTGGTCACTAGGCCTATTTTAATGTAGAAGAAGATCAAACCAGCTTTTTTTTAGTTGCTAGGTCACACAGTTGACTCATATTGAAGTGACTGGCTTTGAAAAAAGAATTTAATTCATTTAACAAACGTGTATTAAGAACGTATCATGTGCAAGACAATCTGCTATGTGCTGCAAGAGACAGAGTCACATTAATTCAGTCCGCATCCTTAAGGACCTTGCTACCTAAGTAAAGAGATGGGCAGAGATGCCAGACAGTGGAGGAATGAGGAAGTAATATAAATGGAAAAGGGCAGCAGACATGGAAAGGTCTTTGTTATAGCTTTAAAGTAGGGGATACCTGTGTATTTGAAGGGAAGATGAAGAGACTGAAAATTCTGGAGTTGACATGGATTTGTAGAAATAGGTCCCTTAGGAGGAGAAAAGGGGAAGGGATCAATATAGTAAAAGTGGAGAGATTCCTTTTGGAAAGATGAGTAAGAGGCAACAAAACTTTGGTCAAATACAGTAGTTAAAGTTAGTACCATATAATCCAAGTTAATGGACATATCCCTCCTTTCCATTAATCAATAAACTGGTTTTTAAGGGAATATACATTAAGTGTGGGAGAAAGGGCTTGTGGTTATAAGACACTGCTGTGTCCAAACAAAATATCAGTATTTTTTTTTTTAAATTTAAAGGGCCTTTCCTTCTTTGATACTGAAAGGAAGAATGAGACAGTATGTATAAAAATACTCAAGTGGAGCTAAGACAGAGGAGTCAGTCCCTGCTGCAGAGCTTCAAATTATTAATGAATAAGAGGAAAGAAGTCATCTGCTTAGATGTGGACAGGGAAGGAGTAGGAGTCTGACAAAAGTAGAAGTTTAGAACAGGTGAGGAGTTCACTAGGGAGTCAGTAAAAGAGAAGTAACTGACCAAATTAAAGGCTATTGCCCTTCTTACTATATCACTTGAGACAGTACTGATAAAAACATACTTGCTATAATCTGACACTTGCTTTTCTTTGATAAAAAAAAATCTTTATAAGTAAACAGAACACATGGTGAGCTCTCTTCTGGTAAGATGCCATTTGTCAGTTTGTTTTATAAATACTCATTGTTTAGCCTAACACCCTTTGCAGTCGATGAAGCAACATTAGAGTTGCAGAAGCAAACCAAGAATTGGCTCATTAGTGTACCAAAAAATACAAATGATCAACAAATTCTGGGCAAAAAGAATTCAGTAAAACAAGAGAAAACAAACAGCTATGAAATCCAATTTTTAGAATTGCAGAAAAATTAGTAAGCTTTTTTGAAACTAGAGAAATTATTAGGCTGTTATTACACAAGAACAAGGTTAATATCCCCTGAACAGGTGACAGGTTTCATGAGATTTCCAAACTGTCTTCATGTGAATATTGCTATAATGCATAGGTTCGAAAAGTGGGTGATACCGCCCCTCTAGGGTCCTGGAACGATTCAGGGGGGCAGTATTTTTTGGAAATCACGCAAATTTCCAAAACAAAACAAAACAAAAAATTAAAGGGTTAAAGAAAGATTTCCAGAGGACACTAAGTAATTTTTTTTAAGGAGGTAGTAGGCTAAATAAGTTTGGGAACCTCTGCATAATCCTTTCTCATTTTGCGAATTGAAGTTTAATGAAATTATAAAGGCTGGTACATAAAACAAAGGAAAATTTGATAAAAGAATGATCAAGTCCCCCCCTAAGTTTGTCATTTTGGCAATTTGTTCTGGGACTACTACATTCTTTTCTGATCAAAATAATGAATGGTTATGTAAGGATCCTGCGACCAACTTTTAAAATTTTAATAGTTCTTGAAGGTAAAGGAAATGGTATAGCACTTTTAAATTAGCAGCATCTTTAAAGGTTAGAGGCATAAGTCCCAGAAAAACCATCCAAGGTCTTCAAAGAATTAAAGCTGTAGGCCACCCAAAAGGCAGCGGATAGATAAATGTAAAGAAGAAGTAAAAAAAAAAAAAAAGGATGAAGTACCTTACCAATGAGAGAAAGGTACATGAATGATCTTATCAGAAAAATGTGTGATCAGAAAAGGAAGACAAGTTGAGGTGTAGACTATTCACTGGTATAGCAAAATGTCATGAAATCTAGAGGAAAGTGTGCCACTTGTAGAGGACTTGTAGAAGAATGTGGACAAGGGTCTAATAGAAGAAGCTTGGAAGGATTTCAATTTACAAGGCTGGAGGAGATTCCAACAGTGAAGAGATCCCAGTTCTATGTAAATGTTGCTCAGTTGTGTCCGAAACCCCTATTTGGGGTTTCTTGCAAAAATACTGGAGTGGTTTGCAATTTTCTTCTCCAACTCATTTACAGGTGAAGCAACTGAGGCAAAGAGATTTAAGTGACTTGGCCAGGGTTACACAGCTAGTAAGTGTCTTGAGTCTGGATCCGAACTCATGAAGATGAGTCTGCTCTAAACTTCTATGGATGTATAAGTCCATTATAACAGTTACTACTGACACATCTATCATATTGGAAAAACACTTTTTTTCACATCAGATTCATTCAAACTGACTGGCTAACTTGAGACACTTCAAACTAGCAAGAACATGAAGTAATCCAAATATGAACTAGCATTTCACTCTTCATCATTTGTCTGAACACAGCAAATCATCAGTACAATATAGCAAATGTCATCACTCTACAAGATACCAGGGATCAAACTACTCATCTGTCAATGTGATTCCAAGCCCTCCAAAAATAGTTTTGACCTAACCAATCCTATTTGCTAAAGACCTAAATATTAGTTATACCCTAAAACAGATCAGGGCACACAAGTTGAGAGCAATGACTGGGTGAAAACCAAGTTAATCTAAATGAAATTTCCATTAATAAGTACATGGTCTCATTAACTAGCAAAGATATAACTGACCTAAAAAGGGTTCACTGTCTTTTAAATGTTTCACTTCTCTTGATCATGGACAGTGTCTTAAAACTAAAACGCTTTCTTCTCTGTTTAAGACATTGCTCTCAAAACAAACAACTAATTTCTAAATCAAAAGGGACAATTTTGGCTCAACTTCCAGTAATCATTTGCAAACAACATGAACAAGAACTAGATAAAAGTCTGGGAAGTTTTCTTTCTTTCTTTTAAAAGAAATTCTAAATAAAGAGGCTTCAAAGAAATCCAATGCAACTTCTTATTAGCTATGAGCAAAATATAAGAAATAAAAGGCAAAAAGTTTTTTTTAATGTGTGTGTGCATATATGGTTAGTTAGATGGTTTTGTGGTTCAGTTTGTCAAGCAAGGTCTTCCAATTCCAAAATATGACTTCTGACACCTAGTAAACTTTCAATATTTCCAGAAACCACTTAGCGGTGTCTCCTCATGTTTACTATCCTGGAAAAAAAAAAAGTACAGTAATTGGGTATAATGTACTTTTGTATCAGCGATTAAAAAAAAAGTTAAAAGCAATTTCTGGCTTTCTAGAATGATGGCACCTGATGCCAAGCATGAGTTTCCTCTTGGAAATTTTTGAGCATCCTACTTCCTAACTGTTTTCATCACATTCTTACTCTCTCCCAAACCTTAGGTACCAGTTCTAATCTACACCAGATTCCTTGGATAACCACGCTGTCTCCTATCTTCCTTATTCTTTTATTGGAAACTGTTACCAACAAGACCAGCTACCCTTTTAAATATCTCCCTGCATGCTTTTGCACTTATCACAGTCTCTCTCTTTGGGAAGCTATTTCTGTCCGTGTCCTCCTCCCCCCACCCCCAATCCCACCATTAGACATTAAACACTAGAATGCTGGGTCTGTGTCAAGTCTTTGTATAGCCAGTGTGGTGCCTCGCATATAGTAGCAGGCTCTTAATCAAAGCGTTTGGAATCGAATAGAGCTCTCCTCTCCCCACCCCCACAAGCCCCCGTGAGTGAGGGTGAGGAATGCTAGTTTGGAAGCCAGCTTCTCCTGGAGAAGAGTTATCAGCCGGGGGGTGTAGGATCCCGGGCTCGAGCATTCAAGTCACTTCAGTGGAACAGGTCCTTCCTCCCCAAACTTTTCGGAGCCCGGAGCATCCTCGCTGCACGAACGGAGCCATCGCTGGAGGTGCTCCCAGGCCCCGAGCCTCCCCAACACCCCCGGCTCGCCGATCGACCGCACCGGCTGCCGCCAGCCCCCCAGCCCCGGGCTCCCCAGCAGCCCCTTCCTTCGGCCGCGGGCTCCGCTCGGCCTCCACTGCCGGCAGCTTCGCCCGCTCGCCCGGCGCCGGCTGCGGCACAAACGCCTGGCCGCCGGCCCGGCCTCCATCCGGCGGGCCCTCCTCCTCGTCCTCTTCCTCTCCCTCCCGCCTGACACCGCTTGGGGGGCCCGACGCGCGCCAGCCCGGCCCCGCCCCGCCCTCCCGGCTCCGCCGCCCGCCCGCCCCGGCCCCGGCGGGCTCACCGAGCCGTGGCTCTCCGCCGCGCTCGCCGCGTCCTCCTGCTGCAGCTCCGCCGTCATGGCCGGGACCACCCTCCCCTTCCCCCCGCCCTCTAGCTCGCTCGCTCGCTAGTTCTCTCTCCCCCTCCGCGGGGTCCGCAGGCGCCCCACCGCTGCCGCCAACGCCACCGCCGCCACCGGACTCAGCCCCGAGGAGGAGACCCTCCCCCCTCAACCACCGCCCCCTGCTTCTGCCTCCGCCTCCGCCTCACAAACCCCCTCCTCCTGGGTTCCGTTCCAGCCCCGCCCCCTTCGCTCGCCCTCCCCTAACCTGGGCGCGCGCGCGCCCCGGGCGGGCCCACCCCGTCGCCAACACCGGGGCCGTGCGCGCGTGCGCATGAGGAGGAGAGGTGGGGAACGAGGGCCTCTCCGCGTGCACGCCCGCTCGGGGTCGCCGAGGCGAGCGGGAGCGCGCGCGGCCCAGAGAGAGGCGCTTCCCGCTCTTCTCACCTTCCCACCTAGCAATTCCTCACGCCCCTTCACGTGACTTCGCTTCGGGTTCATAACGGTCGCCTTCTCCTCCGCTTCTGCCGCGGCGGTTGGGGTTCGGGGTCCGTTGTCTGCCAGGGAAGGAGTTTTTGGAAGCATTGCCGGCTTGGCCCTCCAAATCTCGCCCCCGTCGGCCCCCCTACTTCCCCACACTAACCCGAAACCTAATCTTTCCCCTCGTTAGTGTTGAAACACGAGTACCGATCCTTTGAAGAAGGCGCTTAAAGGACCTGCTGCTTCATATAACCCCATAGATGCCCTCCAGTCTAAAAGGGAAAACTGAGGCATACCGGGCTAGGCTAGGGCAAAAGTTCAGCGGCGAGTCATGCTCCGAGAGTGACTTGCGGACTCCCAGGCCGCTGCCCCAAACGCTGCTTCTTGGATAACCCAGCGTATGTTGGGAGGGTTTCATTTAATTTCGAACTTTAGGAAAGTCGAATAAAAATTCTAGTACTTTAAAACGACAGGTGGGCTAAATGCGATGTGAAACAGACGATGGGAATTACGAAACAGCAGCAAAGCCTCCAATTTTGGCACAAGTTCCACAAGTATAATGATAACTACTTTGGTGTTTGAGGGATTGGGTTAGGACAATGGGTAGCTGTGCTTCTTTAAAAGGTGATAGAATCATAGACTAGAAGGGGAACGTGGGTCTCGAGCTGGAAGAGGGCTTAGAGGTCACGTAATCCAACCCTCTCATTTTACAGAAGAGGAAACTGAGTTGAAGTCAAATGACTTGCTCAGGGTTACACAGATGGCAAAACAGGATTGAACTCAGATCCCTTGGATTCCAAATGCACGGCTCCTTCCGAAGTACCACACTGCCAGGAGCCTTAGGGTTCCTACTCTAACCTCATTCCACTTTAGGAGAAAACAATTGTTACTTGCCTAGTAATCACAACTGCTAGAACCTATGATTCCCTAATTCCTCATCCAGGCCTGCACACCACTGCAGCTGTAATACCTCAGCCTCTCTGATCTGGCCTATCAGCCACAGCTTTGGTGTCACATTTTGCTAATCCATATGGTCACTATTCGTATGCACATATGTAGATTTTGGCACAACTCCTTTTGCAAAATTGATCTTTTGTTTCTGTAGTACCTTTTTTTTCCAATGTATCCTGCCCCCCATTTCCTCCCATAGAGCCATCTCTCCTAACAAAGAAATCAAGAAGAGCAGGACAAAAGCAATTTGCAAAACTAACCGATGCATAGACCTCATCTTACATATTATGCAGTGTTCCACACCTATAGTCACTATTCCTGGAAAGAAAGGAGGGAGGTACAATCTCATTTCTCATCTCTGGGGTCAAGTTTGGTCATTATAATTTTACAATATTCAGTTTTTAATAGGGTTGGGTTTTTTTTTGTTTTTGTTCTTTACATTGTTGTAGTCATTGTGTCTCTTGTTCTCCTGGTTCTTTGTTCATTTTGTATCAGTTCAGGTTTTCCCATTTCTTATACACATTCCCATGTGTAGTCATCACATTCTTTGTTTTCTTCTCATTCAATCATTTCAGTCTTGTCTCACTCTTTGTTACCACATTTGGGGTTTTCTTGGCAAAAATACTGGAGTGGTTTGCCATTTCCTTCTCCAGCTTATTTTACAGATGAGGAAAGTTAGGCAAACAGAGTTAAGTGACTTGCCCAGGGTCACCCAACTAGTGTCTGAGGTTGGATTTGAATTCAGGAAGATGAGTCTTTCTGACTTCAGCCCCAGCATTCTATCCACTGTGCCACCTAGCTGCCCTTCATTGTGTTCTTGAAGATCCATAATACTATTCCATTACATTCATATGTCTTAACTTGTTTCTGTCATTTATTTCTCTGTGTGAATTTAATAAATATCAATATAAGACTTCTTTCCATATGCATATACAAACGAACATTTTCCTTATACAAATGAACATTTTCCTTTGTTTTGTGCTAACAAGGTGCAAATTAGTGCTGATTAATATTGCTGTACTGGGGTATGGAATAGATTCTAACCGCTTCTAAGTTCCCCTTGGCTGGGGGTGGGGTGGGGGGGAAGAGGGGACAGGGAGAGAAGGAATGGCTACTGATTCACTAAATGGTAGGGGGGGAACCTTTATGCTGGAGGGCATAATGGACACTAGTGTGATAGCAGTAACATTTATCAATGGTGTGTTGGGTTTACTAGGCTTATTCTATTGGTGCCTACAATTTAGGTTTATGGAGGTGCTGATATTTGTGGGTTTGCTTCTTTGCCGTTTGAGCTACACATAAAGTCCTTGCTCAAAAAACGTTGATCTTTTTCTCATTTCAGTCCACCAAATTGACATATATTTGCTAGCAGTCCACACCTATATTCCATTGCCTGAAGCTATGTATCTTTATGGTATTTCTTCTACCCCTTCTTTGTTTGACTGGTTTATTGGTTGGTTTTTCTATGGTGGAAAGAAATGTACGAAAATTTCACAGGATAAAAAGTCCTGGAAGGGTCACAATCTACATTGGTGGATGGAACACTTAGAACCGACTAAATCACGGATCCACCAAAATTCACTTATGCTAGGTTGTATCACTGTCTGTATTTTCCTTAGTCATGAAATTTCTTGCCTTGGGAAGATTTTCCACATTATCCTATACCCACACCTTTAAAAAAAAAAAAGAATTGTAGCTCAATAGAAAATAATGGACGCAAGTTATGATTAAGCCTCCTTCACTTATGTTGAACTTGCTGTGGCTCTAAATCTAGTAAATTATTGGAAGCTCCTCTTGCTCCCCCTGGGTAAAACTTCCTTCTGGAGATTACAAATCTTGACTGTGGTAGTCTGCAAGAGACACAATGCCCAACACTGATCTTAATGAGCAAGACCACATCAAATCTTGGCCATTAGTTGGCAGTCCTCACAGTGATCAAATATCAAGGGTAGATGTCGTGGGATGTTTTGCTGTCGCCAAAGGGAATCATTGTCTTGTTCTTCTGTTTAAAAGCCCAGACATGATGGCAACAGAATGATTACATTATTGGATTTTAATCATTGCAAGATAATTTAGAGGGAAAAGTATTGTGAATGATGAGCAGTAAACAAAACCCACAATGAGGCAACAAGTTAGAGGCATAATAAGGGTTCCGGAACACTCAGAGGAAGAATAAGGATATTTTGCTTTTCCTTTCTTAGCTAACTTGTTATAATAGCAAGATTCTATTTTATAGGTTGGTGAATTTGTTTGATTTCTTGTGGTCTGAATCAAACTCAGAATATCCTTGGGATTACATTATAGTGACCATCTTAGATTTGTTGGAAGAGAGGATAAAAGGGGAAAAAATAGGAGAAAGAAGAGGAATATGAGAAAACAGAGAAGGTAAATGTAATAGGGCAAAAGAGGAGAGAGAAGGGTGAAAAGTGAGAGAAAAGTGAAATTGATATAAAAGGAAGGATAAAAGAAGTAGAGAGAGAAAAGTATGGTTGAGCTTATTCAATTTGCTTTGTAAATAATAGGTGGTAAAATAGATAGAGCGCTGGACTTGGAGTCAGGAAGACCTAAGTTCAAATTCTGCCTCAGATGCTTCCTACCTCTGGGCCATGGGCAAGTCACTTAATTTTTCTTACCCTCCATTTCCTTATCTGTAAAATGGAGATAATAACACTTCCCAGAGTTGTAGTGAGGATCAAATGAGATAATACTTGTAAATCACTTTATAAACCTTAAAGTTCTATATTAATGCTAGCTATTATCTTCATCATTATTATTACTGACTTCTGCCCACCTGGATTTGATAGTTCAAGACCAAAGCAAATTGATATTTCCTGATGAGGGCGTGTCTTGTTGGATTCTGCAATGAAGAAATATTTTTTTCAGAGTGATCCCAGGAGTTCTCAACCTTTTTTGTTTCATGGACCACTTGGCAGTCTGGTTAAGTTTAAGGACCTCTTCTCAGAATTGAATTTTCAAATGTATAAAATAAAATAAATAGGATTACAAAGGAAACCAATTACAGTATGTTGAAGTATACTTATCAAAAATTATTTTTAAAAAATAATTTCAGAGACCCTAGGCTAAGAAACCTAGCCACACAATAGCTGCTTCCCAAGCTACCTGGAGCCTAAAAACTGAGATCTCATTAAACATTGTTCTGAAGGAAAAGGGTTAAAGAGAATGTTGTTGATTATACTTAGCTTAAATTACTCAAAAAGTAAAATGGTAGTCCAATGATATAAGGTTAAATTTTGATACTTCAAGAAAAGTTTCAAAAAAGTCTCCCTTTGCTAGTTGAAGGATTTATAACTTCTATTATTTCTGTCATGTTTCCCCGATGTGGATCTTGTTAAGTGCAGTGTTTATAGAGGTCTGAGATAACTTTCAGTGAGCTAATGTGTTTATTTTAGGAATACTTCAACTTGGTACTAAGTAACAATCCCTTGCATACCCCTTAGCCTTCCTTTCCTAACCTCTCTTTGATGTTAAAAAAAAAAAGCCACAATAACAATAACCATAGATAAGCACTTCAAATCATTACTGCCATTATTTATATATGGATTTATGAAAATCTTAAGTTATAGAATTCTGTAATCTAATTTCCA